TCTTGACTCTCCCAGGAGTGAGTGGTTTGTAAACTCGTCCTGCAACAGAACTAGGGGATATGGCGTTGTTGTAAGATGAAATTCTCAGAACTAACCAGAAGGAAATGTATGGGATACCTTGGGAGAATTAACTTTCAGATCTTGGGAGTGGAAGGGTTAAGTGCTATATTACCAATGCTTTCCGTGCCTTCATGATTGGATACGTTGTTTCTATTTAGATAATGGAGGTCAAAGGCAGGCATGAGATTGTCTCACTTGTTGGAACACTTGCAGATGAAGGGCACCTTCACGCTTCCCTTTCAGACAAGGACGGACATGTGGTGGGTGGCCACGTTATGGGAAACATGGAAGTTTTTACTACTGCTGAGGTTGTTATTGGAAACTGTGATATGTTGTCATTTACCAGAGAAATGGATGATGCGACTGGTTTTGATGAGCTTGTCGTAACTGAGAAATAATAAACTAAGTAGCCTGCTCAAGTTATGCTGATCACTTGAGCAACTGTAACAACTGTCGTAGTCATTATCTGTTTACATTCAAATTACATGTTAATTAACATTGTTTTAAATGAAGGACATTGTATTATTTTGCGTATGGTTTTAAGGACAGTCTTATTATGAAAACAGTTTTCTGTTCAGTTTTATATGTGACTGACCAAAAAACCTCTATATCCAAGAAAATCTAATTTTTCCAACTTAATTTCTCATACAATTTAACATTCCCTTGAGGGTTTTTTAATCTTTTCTTTATCCATATTTTTCAATTTTATGATCATGATAGCTCAGCATTTATACCAAATTTAATGCAAGGTAATGGAAATGTGAGAAAATTTTGCCTCTTCTAACATTGTATTAATAGTAATTAATGTATTTTTTTTATATAAAATGTCATTTTTATAATTAAAGAGTTTGAAATTCAGTTTTCTCGTCAGCCAATGATCATGTAACTCAGCTATTGTCGTCTGAAAGTTTAAGTAACCTTTCCAATAAAAAAAGTTTCATTATTGAGTGCACAAAGGCGTATTAGAATGGTCCATGGAAAATAAGCAGATCAGTCTCAAAAAAATGGCATTGTGGTCTCGGAATCTCTGAATTGAAGCACATCTCAGAATCTTGAAATTATTTTAAGATTTTTTGTACAGTGGAACCCTGTCAATACGACCACCTTCAGGCCATGGAAAATTGGTCCCATTAACAGGGTGGTCATATTAAAGGGATTCTTTAAATAAGAAAATGACTGACTGAGCTTTTTTCAGGTCAGATTAAAGTGGCCGTAATAACAAGGTGGTTGTATTAATGGGGTGGTCGCAAGGCGGGGTTCCACTGTAGTGAGATACAGGTTGATAAAATTCCAAATGATAACACTATTAAAAAAGAATGCTAACAGATCTGTCAATCTGCACTACTGGAACTATCAGTATATATATTTGAATTAAAGAGAATTAAATTAGAATGAAAGAGAATTAAGAATTAAAGAGGTACTAGTTTTGAAAAATTCTAACATATCAAACAGTAATGAAACTGTGACATGGAGGCTGATAAAACAAATAACAAATGGCATGACTAGTGTTGAAATTCCAGAAACCAATCCCCTGACCTTTTGAAATTGCACAATGAAAAGGTTTTAAAATCAGACAGGGAACATGCACAACCTTCCTAATGGGATCTCAGTGAAAAAAAAATGAGTTGTGTTTAACTTCTGCACCTACGTACCACAACAGGAGAGATTTATATCTCAAGTGCCCAGTATTTGGGACTGGGGGGATAGGCAGAACTGCAATACAAATTGGTCGTGGAAAGCTAGGCCACATTTGAGCTACTGCCCCAACAGGCCAGCACTTAACTCCATGGGTGCTTACCATTTACAAAAACCATCCGGTTGGAAATTTCGGGCATAAATATTAAACAATTAAATGCGACGTTGCGGGAGAGGGAATCGCTATAAAGTATATTCACATCAGCTAGAGAGACTTAAAAGAGCAGAAAAATAACATCATCTCGAATCACAGCCCATATTTTCTGAAGCTTACCAAACGGAATGGTGCAAACCATTTGATTTTCTAACTGGAATTTCCGGTTTTCCCATGTAAATGGTAAGTACCCCATTTTTCATAGAATTAAACAACTGGGAGTATTCCTATCTCCCCTCCCCTCCCCTCCCCCACTGGATGGGGTGTTTGTCCAGTGCTGGGTTTCCCCCAATGTCTGATTCAGTGTTCCCCATTTATACACCTGAAGCAAGAGGCATTTGTCTAAGAATACAACACCCACAGTCCACTACACTGATGGTTACGCCATCGCACCTCCCATTTACGGCATGGAAAACATGGCAACTATTCTTGAGAGTAAATGACAATCAGAGAGTGTCTGTAGTGCTTTCTTGTTATATGGAATTGTTAGGCTTGACGAGACGCCTCTTCCTAAGGAAAACGAAACTAGAGTGCAATGAACAACGGCCATTTCCTTTCCTTATATCTTTGCTTTGATCAATATCAAACCTCTCTGAACCCTTACCATATAATACAATGACGGATGTAATGAGAAAAAACCTGCTGATCTTTTATACAACCAATAGTAAGGTCCCAAGCAAAATTGTACAAAATGTATCGTGGAAATTAAATTACACACCCTCAAAATGCTTTAAAAACTGGCTGTTCAAGAAAGTCAGTCTTAGACTCAGTTAAAAAGTTCACAAACGTTTTCCCAAGCGTGCGACTATTCAGAAGTTCGGTGAGCGCGGTTTTTACGTTTAGCCATCACACTTTGCGATCGAGTTAGCAGCAGTCTCGATGAAGTTTGCCAGCTTGACATCATTTTCCGACAGGCCGCTGCAGTCATGTGTACTGAGTGTAATCTGTACTTTGTTGTACACGTTAAACCATTCGGGGTGATGATCCATTTTCTCGGCTTGCAGAGCAACACGTGTCATGAATCCAAACGCTTGGTTGAAATCTTTGAAAAGGAATTCCTTGTAAATAGCGTCTCTGCCTTCCACTTCTGTCCACCCAGATTTGCGCAAGGACGGAAGAGTTGTGTTTCTTTCTTCTTCGTCGAGTTTCTGGCGTTTTGGTGCTGACATGATGGAAAGAAGACAAAGAAGTGTGAAAGATGTTCACTTGCGGTACATTCGAGCGCGGAAATGAAACAGGTAGCCAGGGAGGGGAGAGTCGAGTATTTGCCTTCATTTCATCGATGGTCAATATTTTATTCTAGATGTGCATGGAGATACACTAACAGAAAAACTGTCAAAATTAATAAAACAAGTTTATACAGAGTCCATATTAGAACACGCGATGTGAAATAAAATGAGAACACGTTCATTTGTAAGGAGAAAAATACCGTTCCCCACCCCGAGAAGAAGAAAAATTCCCCTCGTGCTGGACGAACATTCCACGTGACTTCTACACAAACCAATCACGTAACCAGACAGTGCAGCTTTCCCGCCAAATTTGTTCTCCCGGGAAGAAGCAAGCTGTAGTCGGTTGAGTGAAGCCTTCGCGAAAATGTCAGGTTTTGACGAGCGTCCAGTTTATTTCAGCGATGCGTTTGGCTCCGAGGAGCAAGCAGATGAGCGAGAAGTTAACAGAATCAGTGCTAAGAAGAGATTCAGGGAATTTATTCGTGAATTTCACGAAGGAACATTCAGCTATCCCTACCGGTAAACAAAATGGCGCTAGCTAGCATGCTCGATCGAAGAATCTTTGATAACAAATTTGTGTTTTTTTTTTCTCTAAGTGGAAAGGATACATTTGAAAACCTTAAAGACACCAAACTGTGGCTATAATAGAGTAAATCTGAGAAAGGATCCCAAAAAATAGCATTCATACTCGTTTTATTGTCACTCGATGTAAAATTTTCAAGCATGTGCTATTCAAGCATGTTGTCCCAAAACCAAATGTTATTCATTGATGTTTTATTTTTTCTCTCTCACAGTGATCAGCTTAAAAGACATTATAACTTAGGACAGTACTATCTTGAAGTAGATCTTCAAGATTTGACGAGTTTTGACGAGCAACTTGCTGATAAACTTACCAAGAGTCCTGCAGAATTCTTGCCTCTGGTGAGTAGCATCTTAAGCTTAATTTCAAGTGAGGTTTTGCGGATCGTTTCAGCTCCTTTTTCCGCCAGAAAATAAATTCGAAAGAATGTTTCCAAAGGCCATTTGAACCCCGAATTTCTATACTAGCTGGAAATATACTTACCCTTGCTAATATGCGGGCAAAGCAAATTTTGATCAGCAATAGTTTTGAAAAACACATGTACACATCTAAATTATGTTGTAAATTATTTCTCAGTTTGAAGATGCAGCTCGAGAGATGGCAGATGAGATTACAAAGCCACGTCCACTGGGAGAAGAGGAAGTACAAGACATTCAGATAACTCTCAAGTCTGATGCAAACCCAATGAGTGTCAGAGAGCTTAGGGTATTGAACTGTCAAGTTATTTCAGTGGCTAGAACTTTTTATTTTCATCTTTAAAGGAAAGAGCATCGCCTTGCCAGTCACTTGTTACAATTTTTTTGACAGCTTGACCAATCAGAGAGCCAAGAACCACAATATTATAATACCATGGTCCTCTCATACCAACTTAGTTTGCAATTTTTTGTGACAGAAAATATCCATATCCCCCCCCCCCCCCCCCCCAATAGAGGCTGTTTAGTTTGACCCCCTCTTCCCATCCCTCTGGAAATGTCTTGTTTCACATTTTTCTTTAAAATATTTTGACCTTTGAGACTCCCTTTCCCTTGAAGAGTTTCCAATAGTCCTTCTTTAGGTGGGTCTGAACATTTTCTGGGACCATACAATTGGCTTAGAAATACTTTGCAAGAGAAGTTTGGCATCTTGCTTCTTATTCTCAATGTACGATTTGGTCCATTTTTAGTCTGAGCAAATGGCAAAACTGGTAAAGATTCCAGGTATTATTATCAGTGCTTCAGCTATCCGTGCAAAGGCAACCAACATTACCATCCAGTGCCGTTCTTGCCGTAACACCATCTCCAACATTCCTCTGAAGCCTGGTCTGGAAGGATATGCCATGCCTCGGAAATGCCCCAGGTATCGAATTGAAACTGTTAAGTTGGGGATTTTGAGTTTGAGTTTGATATGGAGTTAATGCAGACACAAGAATTACAATAATAAATTGCTTCACATTGTTGGAGTACGTTAAGAAGCACATTTCTCATAATAGGGATTGAAACGTTAATTTTTATATTTCTCCAACAGTGATCAGGCTGGCCGTCCACCTTGTCCTTTAGATCCATTCTACATCATGCCTGATAAATGCAAGTGCGTTGATTTCCAAGTATTAAAACTGCAAGAATCTCCAGATGCTGTGCCCAATGGAGAAATGCCACGTCATATGCAGTTATACTGTGACAGGTAATTAAAACTATTGTTGATTACCCTTGATTATCACAGTGGCAAACAAAACTGTACTATTCTAAACTCTGGTTGATATTTACACTGGCTTTTTTCTTTCTCTCTCTCCTTGAAAGGTACTTGACAGAAAAAGTAGTCCCTGGTAATAGAGTTACTGTGATGGGAATATATTCCATCAAGAAAGTTGCACAAAAAAATGACAAGGTGAGTCAAAGTCAAAGAAAGGGAATAAGCTTGCTATCAGTAGCATGTTCTGTTAAAAAAAAAAAAAAAAACGGCTGGGCTTAGAAATATCTTGATTCTTATGCCCCAAGCTATGTACTGATCATCTAGTTTTCTTCTCAGGACCGTGATGGTGTGGGTGTTGGTATCAGGAAGCCATACCTCCGCGTGGTTGGCATTCAGGTTGATACAGAAGGCCCTGGCCGCAGCTCTGGAGCACCACTGAATCCTCTTGAAGAGGAAGAGTTCAACAGATTTGCCAGCAGACCTGATGCTTTTGAGACAATAGCAAAGAGTATAGCTCCATTTATCTACGGCAGTGAAGATGTCAAGAAGGCTATTGCATGTCTGCTGTTTGGAGGGTCTCGCAAAAGGTGTGAAAAAAATCTTGACACAGATTGTTTGGGTTTGTCTGAATATGTCATTATTCACAAATTGCCAGTATCTGATGCAAGGTTAATTCTGTGTTAAAGAGATCATATTAATCAAAGTAGCCTGATGTTGTTTGTCTGTGTATGACATGCTTACCAAAGGGTTAGCTAGTGCATTTGAGTCTGCCATCAAGGTAGAGCCCTAGATTCCAGCTCTGGGTGGTGTCCTTCTGTTATGTTCTTGGGCTTAGCATTCTACTCTGACACTTGCTAGTCTTCACCATGGAGTAGTGTCAAATGGATACAAGTGAACCTGAAGTAATAAATGCCTGAGTAAAACTTGTGATCAGCACCCTTACCGCTTGTCATCAACAGAGAGTAGCCATGGGAGTTACAACAAGAGTTAGCTCAAGCATCAGCTAGGCATGCATGCTCCTTCTCCCTTGGATTGCTCTGTACCTAAACCTTGTGCAAGCTTTCCGCTGATCTCTTTTCTCTTACATTTTACACATTTGTAGGCTTCCTGATGGACTCACTCGTCGTGGTGACATCAATGTGCTCTTGCTAGGTGACCCTGGTACTGCTAAGAGTCAGCTGCTGAAGTTTGTAGAGAAGGTTTCTCCTATTGGTGTGTACACATCAGGAAAAGGGAGCAGTGCTGCTGGATTGACAGCATCAGTAATGAGGGATCCAGCATCACGTAACTTTATTATGGAGGGTGGAGCTATGGTGCTAGCTGATGGTGGTGTCGTTTGCATTGACGAGTTTGATAAGGTGATATAACTGCTTTGAATTCATATATATGTATACTGTAGCTGAGAAAAAATTAGTCTGATCTGTTACATGTGAAAAGTGCAGCTTACTTTAATTTTAGCTGAGTTCAAAAGCTCTCTTTCAGATGGTGAAATGAGCTGGTATGCCAGCTGTTAACTACATCTCTGAGTTTCAGTTCATTTTCCTTTCGGAGTTATAGAGGATGGACAGTCTGTGACTAGTGTGCAAGTTACCACTGACATTAAAGAAACAGTCAAGTGTTCACCTGGTACATCCTTGACATTTCACATTTGAAAGCTGTTATCATTTTGTTTGTTGCATTTTACAGATGCGTGAAGATGACCGTGTGGCTATCCATGAAGCTATGGAACAGCAAACAATTTCAATTGCTAAGGTAAAATTTTTTGAAAACATTGTCCTCTTGAGAGATCCACTACTCAGCATTGCTTTTTGTTGACTCACTGTTGACTTCAAATGAGTTCTAATTAACTCTTTTAGGCTGGTATCACCACAACATTGAACTCAAGATGTTCTGTGTTGGCAGCAGCAAACTCTGTCTTTGGTCGCTGGGATGAAACTAAAGGAGAAGAGGTAAAAAAAATGAAACTTTTACAATGTCTTTTTTTTTCTTTTTCTAAAAGTCTTCTTGCAGGTATTGTTACTCATGCTAACTTATCTTCCTCTTCCTTGCCAGAACATAGACTTCATGCCAACCATATTGTCCCGTTTTGACATGATTTTCATTGTCAAGGATGAACATGAACAGAGCAAAGACATGGTAAGCTGCTAGTCAGAGGATTTAATGTAAGGTCATGAGAAAGACAGAAGATTAGTTGAATTGGGTCATCTGACAAATTCATTGTTAAAAGATTAAAATCTTTCAGGGATGTTCTTGGAGGGGCAGGATATGGAAAACTTTTTAAGCATAACAATTGGGTTCAAATATTTTCACAACTTGTATAGAGAACACAGGCGTCTTTTACTAATAATTCTTTAGGGTCTAGGTGTTAAAAATTGTTCCTGTGGTAGACCTCAAAAGCAACATTGCATCTATCATAATCATTTTAGGAATAAAACCATGAATTAAATAATTAGAATAAATTAATGAGTTAATAATTTCATAGAATTTGTTCTCTTTATGATCTTTATAGCGCCTTGCCAAACACGTTATGCAAGTCCATCTGAATGCAGCTCAAGTTGGACAGGCACAAGAGGGTGAATTGAGCCTGAATTTCATAAAGAAGTACATTGGTTACTGTCGCAAGTATGTACTAATTAACAAAATGCATTATTTAATGAAATACCTTGAGAGGGTATTTTTTTATAATTCTGGAGTTCATGTCAGTACCGTTATTGTAATCGAGTCAAGTTCTTGTATGTCATGTTACAATTTCATTTCCTGTAGCAAATGTGGCCCCAGGCTGTCTGAGGAAGCCGCCCAGATGCTCAAGAACCGTTATGTTCTCATGCGAAGTGGAGCACGTGATTATGAAAAAGATGCTGAGAAAAAGATCAACATACCCATCACAGTCAGGTAAAACAAAATAATAGTAAGTAGATGGCAAAGAAAATGACAGGTTCATGATTATAGGTTGTTTTTTTTTTTTAACTTAACACTCAGCTGCAGTGACACTTATATTTACCTTTCAGGCAACTGGAGGCAATTATCAGGATTTCCGAGTCACTGGCAAAGATGAGGCTATTGCCTTTTGCTACAGCAGCACATGTGGAAGAAGCTCTGAGGCTTTTCCAAGTGTCGACACTGGATGCTGCTATGTCTGGTAGCCTCTCAGGTGAATTATTTTTGAAGCTTCTTAACTACCCTCTGTAATGCACCTTAGGTATTTAATTTTAAGGGGTGACCAACTGTTTGAAAGTCAAGAGTGAATGCCCAGATTATACTGTGTATCTTTGGAAAGCAAAAGTTCAATAGTCCAGTTTCAAGTTAACCAAGACTGCTGAATAAAAATACCAAAGACACATATGTACAAGGTTAGTCTATCACTGTACAGATGAGGCTTTGCTCTGGACATTGAGCTATGATTGAAGCGGAGCTCCGACAGGCCAAAGGGCTGCCAAGCAGAGCCCCATACTTATATAAGAAAGAAAAGGAAACCATGAATGGATTTTGTCATGGTTATCAAGGCTAGCGGTTTTGCTCGTGGGGGCGTATACATGACGGTTGCGGCAATGATGGAGTCAAGCAAGATGGCAGCCATACTATAGCTAATAGGTCAACAGAGACATGCAGCCTTGGTTTATAGCATCCTTCTTTGATATTGGACATCTGTTATGATCAATTGACACCTGTCAAAACAAGGTATCTGCTGACCAGTATCTCATGACCATATCACAGGCTCAAGTTTAGATCTCATTGAGGTCACAGGTTTTTTTCAAGTTGATTGCTGACCAAGTGGTGGTTTTTGACTGGATCGTGGGCTCATGTCGAGTTAACTTGCAATCAGGGTCAGGTTGTTTGGAAGGCGGTTAACGCTAACCCAGGATTGAAAGTTCACTGAAGAAATAATTTTTTCTTATATACAAATGTTCTTCACTGCTTTTGTTTTGGGTAGTTTGAGGTTATTCAAACTCAAAACAGAAGGCCAAACAATATACAGAAAACCTCACCACAAAGTTATAAAACTCAAATCAAAATTCTTGCTTATCCTGGGTTAGCTTAATCAGGCTTTGAACAACCTGGCCCTGGAGCTCTGTTTTTAAGCTTGGCTAAATCTATATATTAGCCTTTGTTGCTGCCTTCTGTTATTGGAAGTGGGGCTTAGGAAGCAAAGATCAATGGATTATACTTTTTCAGGTATTAATGTTACTGTTGAACAACTTAGTTGTAATTTGTTTGTTACTGTTTAGGAGCAGAAGATTTTACTCCAGAACAGGATGTTGAGGAAGTGAGACAGATAGAAAAGCAAATCAAGAGAAGATTTGCCATTGGAACTCAGGTATTTTCTTATGAATTGAGTTTTGATGTAAATAGAAAGAGTAAAAATATACACTAAAACAAAGAATACAATGCAGCGAATCAGGATTTTACCCCTATGTGAAAGATTATCACATAGGCTAAGTACCATATATTAATTTTGATAAAAATTAACTAGTCAACTTTAGCAAACTGAAATTCCCCTCAAACTCAGTAGAAGTCCTCCACTCAGCTTTCAAACTTCAAGGGTCTGACATTGCAGGTTGACTTTTCTATTCACAAGTTATAAAAGTTATAAAAGTTACAAAAGTTGTATGTTCCCCTTAGGACTCCTCTTGAAACATCTGGATTTAGTGTTCTAACATACTACTGCAACTAATCTGATGACCTCTTTTCTAGGTTTCTGAACAAAGAATAATCCAGGATTTTGAAAAACAGGTATGATCTAACATTTATACCAAAAATTGTCTGTAAACATTGATGTTTTACAGAGTGCTAGATTAGAAAACAAAGTACCAAAAACTATATTACAAGGAACAGGATTAACCTAAAGACAGGAAAAGTTGTGTGTACTTTCACTGTTGCTTTTACCACTAAATATTCTATTCTCTTTTCATCATCTTCATCTTGTAGAAATATTCTGAACGTGCTATCCACACCGTAATTTACATTATGCTGAGAAGAGGCGAGCTTGAACACAGATTTCAAAGAAAGGTCCTGTACAGAGTGAAATGATCAAACCATTCCTGTTAACTGTGACAAAGCTTCAAGTATCCTGCCATATTTGGATCATAATTGGGACCAATAGTCTCATCGTTTTGTGTTATTTGTCTTTGCTCAAAAGCTTTACAGAGTTCCTCATATAATAACTGCATTAAGACATTAAAATTCACAAGATCACTTACATTCTCTGTCTTTGCTAAAATAGTAAGAAACACCTTTGTATACAGCTTATGTTGTTAATAAAAGACATTCCAAAAAAAAAAAAAGAATGGTGCCAAGTATTTTATCAACTTGCGAGTGTCCTTCCTTTGCTTGCACAGTAACTATTTGGCCTAAATATGTGAATTACAACCAGTTTTTCACAAGATGAACTAAAAGGGCTCAGTTTCACACAACAGTGTCCCAAAAAAAGTGTTCTGTGTTATGGAGTTGTAAATTAAGCAGTGTAACTGACACTTTTAAGTTTAGCACCATGTTTACACTTATTTCAGCTCTATTTTCCTTTGTTCAAGTCCTTTAATGCTTGCCCAAAAATAGAATGAAAAATATGCCTTTTCTCCAGTATTAAAACTTAGTGACACTTGTTTTATTTGTGGGAGTATCTGCCAGGTGCAGCAAATTCCACCCTGGCACCTAGCTGTTGCTAAGCTATATTGATCCAATGTGATCCCCTGAAAACTTTCAGAGACTGAGACACTTTCAAGTTCCAACACTATCCTCATACTGTAATGCCAGTTTCCCCCTATCAGATTCTACTTCCTAAAACGTATGGGAAATAATTGTAGAAACAGGCCACTCTTTGTTACTCATCACATGATTATATCACAAATTTAAACATTGCAATCTCCATGCCATTTGGTTGAATGATATAATCTTTTTTCACCAACTGAACTTGTTGATGCAGTTGATATGTTTTAAGTGACCAAGCCTATGTGCCATCTTTCAATTTTATTCCTGCACGGTTGGTAGCAAATTAAGCGTGCACACAAGGTGTAATTGCTCCAATGGTCAGCTCACTTTTCCAACCAAGTTAAGAGAAACTGAAATGAAGAATGAAGGGAGAAGGATCTTTTACAAAGCCTGGAAGCAAGCTATCAATGGCACTGAAACATGTCTCACATGTGTGAAGCCAATGGAAGCCAATAAAGAAATGATATTTTGTAAGCTAAACCAAAGGCGAAACCCAACTCCTTCCCAGGGTTGCTCATCTCAGGCTGTACCTTTAGGCCCTGGAGAGGGCAGAAGAAAAGACTGAGAATAAGACTTCCATCTGGCCTACACCAACAGAACAATCCCAAATAAATACCCACACAAGCTGTTACTAGTTCACAAGTTAGAATTTTATTGTTACCAGCATTATCTTCTGGTTGGATCTACAAAAAACAATATTATATACTGGTTGACATGAAAAAGACAAGAATGAGTCTCAAGCTCAAGTATGCCCAGCCTCTTGTGCAGTCACTCTTTGACATGCAGCACAATCATCCCTTGGANGATTCTACTTCCTAAAACGTATGGGAAATAATTGTAGAAACAGGCCACTCTTTGTTACTCATCACATGATTATATCACAAATTTAAACATTGCAATCTCCATGCCATTTGGTTGAATGATGTAATCTTTTTTCACCAACTGAACTTGTTGAATCAGTTGATATGTTTTAAGTGACCAAGCCTATATGCCATCTTTCAATTTTATTCCTGCATGGTTGGTAGCAAATTAAACGTGCACGCAAGGTGTAATTGCCCCAATGGTCAGCTCACTTTTCCAACCAAGTTAAGAGAAACTGAAATGAAGAATGAAGAGAGAAGGATCCTTTACAAAGCCTGGAAGCAAGCTATCAATGGCACTGAAACATGCCTCACATGTGTGAAGCCAATGAAAGCCAATAAAGAAATGATATTTTGTAAGCTAAACCAAAGGCGAAACCCAACTCCTTCCCAGGGTCGCTCATCTCAGGCTGTACCTTTAGGCCCTGGAGAGGGCAGAAGAAAAGACTGAGAATAAGACTTCCATCTGGCCTACACCAACAGAACAATCCCAAATAAATACCCACACAAGCTGTTACTAGTTCACAAGTTAGAATTTTATTGTTACCAGCATTATCTTCTGGTTGGATCTACAAAAAACAATATTATATACTGGTTGACATGAAAAAGACAAGAATGAGTCTCAAGCTCAAGTATGCCCAGCCTCTTGTGCAGTCACTCTTTGACATGCAGCACAATCATCCCTTGGAGGCAAAATGCCATAGACCATTGTACAATGTCAGAAGAGAGTATGCATAGGAGGTTAAAGTATGCCATGTACAAACTTTCTATAAATTGCCTTCAAGATCTTCTAGAATCACACAAACTGGACAACAAAATAAATCATTTATAACGTTCCACCCAATTCACACTCCTTTCAACTGACCTCTAAGTGATATGAATGGAAAATAGCACCATACATGTACATGCTGTTTTGTGTACTTTGTTAAGGAAATGGAATAGATGCACTCGAAGGGTGAACATAACATGAGTACCCTATATTATTCTGTGACATGGTGTTTGATCTTGGTAACTCTTACACTATTGACAATCAAAGCATTTTGCTGTTAGATTATACACCTTAAAGTAACTTAATAATGACTATAAAACTAATATGTTTAAGGGTTGAGCATAAAGATTAAACTTACTCTAACAATAATTTTATTTGTTTTAGAAAATAAAGATATCAATGAAATTATATTGATTATTAGCTCAGCCGAGAATTGACAGTTGCAAATTATAACAGCATGCACTCTTGTCTCCAGCTGAAAACATCCAGACTTGCGTAACACACAACTAACATTAATATCTTTCACACATCAGTAATCTCTTCTTCAAAGTAAACTTAATGCAGTTATAAACAATAATCTCTATTGACAGTGCTATTTTCTATTTCATGTCTAGGGGCAACATCCATGTACATTTATCTCATCCTTTCGAGGGTGAGGGTTGTTTGACGTTCACTCACCCATTTGAGCAAACTGTGTTCTCTCATTTTCTTCACTGCAGGCTACAACTAGTCAATTTTACATCATACTGTCATCTAAATTGTCCGCTTTCTTAACTTTGCACCCTGATATTTGAGGGTAGGTTTTGAAAACATGTTATAATTTAAGTTCAATTATTATGAACCCTCGTTGGGTCCACAATCTAAAATGACTACAAAACAAAACTGTTACTTCACTGGAAATATCCAAACACTGGCAGAGTAACGTGAGACTATCTTCTTGAATTTAAAAAGATAAACAGCCAATGATAGTGAGGCAGAGGGCTAGAACTTGACTGGCTATCTTTTTACAACAGTTGACTTCATTCTAAGGATATAACCATTGTTTAACTCTAAATTTAGCTAGCAGTGGATAAAATACAAAGTGCAGTAAAATGTGCTACGTACATTGTAAAACTTTGCGATGCACAAAACTTGCTCAAACAGCGACAGTATATATGTTCACTTGAATTTTTAAAAAGGTCATTTGAAAAAAAAGTCAGACATAACCTATAGATTTCCACATAAATAATTCTAGGCACAAAGAACTCAGAGCATACAAAAGTTTTCATGTTGCGCAGTTTGTTCTTACTGAAAGTAAGACATTATTCAAGGAACATTGCCATGGGTAAATGGTGGTATCTTTGATACCACAGAAGAGCAGTCTCCTTGTTAAAGAAAACAAAAATATTTTAACACCAAGGAGGATTTGATCTTTTGTAAAGACAAAATGCATCACAAACAATGGGTTACATATATATCAAATATGTTGTACCAACTTGGTACAATAGCCAGGTTTGGTTCTTAAAGTAATCCACTGCCTATTTCTTTCCTTTTGCTTTCTGAGGACCTCTTGGAGGAGTTACTGGCCGGCCAGAGTTTAATCCACCATATTGGTACTTTGCTTTCTTCTCTGACGGCTTTAAAATCTGAAGTAAGGAAACTGACTATTAATAATTTTTTATAGCAATAGCATACTAAACACACATGCAGGGTTAGGTCAATAATTCTTTATAAATCAAAAAGGAAACAAAATTGACAATATTACTGTTAGCTGACCCATCTTGAAATACAAGTCAAAACAACTAGTACCTTATTCTACCAAGTGGATTAAAAGAACTTGATGTCCAGGTGTTTGTTAAATATCAGTATAAATCTACTAGCGTTCTATCACAAATGCCGTTCTCTGATTGACTATGCTACTCACTATCTATTCTGTTGTAGATAGTGAGTAGCGTAGCAGTGTGCGCTTGTTAATGAACTGGTGGTCACTTCTTTGCGTTTTCAAAGTGTGTGTGACGAGTATTTAGATAAAGTTTTGAACGGGTAGTAGATTTACACTTAAACAATAAGATTATTTGCTTCCACTTTCTATGTGTGATAGTTGACTTGGGCCATGCAATAGAACTCTCGTGCTCATAATCTAATTGTTTAGTATAATGTACGAGTAACATGCAATTACCAGCAAAACAGTTTTGTTGGATATGAAACCAACACTTAGCTCCAGTTTATGATTTATGCACAAAAAAACATTTCTCACTCTAAGTAGATTTTCTACGGGTGTAAAATTTCAAATTGGATCACTTAATCAAATTATGTGCTCATAATAGAATTTCTATACCTGGAAAGAACACATTAGAGTTTCATCCACACTCATCATTCCACCTGCATTGTCAAACTCTCCACAGTAATTAGGTGCCGAGAACAACGTGACCAGCTGCCGTTTGGCAAAAAATTCATAACCATCTTCCACCACCTATGGAGATTGTAAAGTAAGTTAACCTTTACTCAATTAAGGTTGGCTATAGTGTTGTTCCCAGGGTAATTTTAAGAGTCCACTACCAAACTTTTGTGACTCAATCCTCTCAATTCCTCAATATACAAATAAGTGTGCCAAAACTTTGCAATGGCTCTCAAATAGAAATAGCTGTTCACTCACGATCAGAATTTCAACACCCGTAGATTTTCAAGGTTTTTGTAACTTGATTAGTTTGTAACCTTTAGTTTAACTGACCTGATGCGCTCTGCATATAAGATCTAAGTCATGGCGGTTTAAGAACTTGCTGACAACATCAGCTCCAAATGTGAAAGAAACACCTCTATCATTTTCGCCCCAGCCATTTGTGTCTTTATCTGGATCTGACCACAACAGGTCACAAAGGAGGCCNTATTATTCTGTGACATGGTGTTTGATCTTGGTAACTTACACTATTGACAATCAAAGCATTTTGCTGTTAGATTATACACCTTAAAGTAACTTAATAATGACTATAAAACTAATATGTTTAAGGGTTGAGCATAAAGATTAAACTTACTCTAACAATAATTTTATTTGTTTTAGAAAATAAAGATATCAATGAAATTATATTGATTATTAGCTCAGCCGAGAATTGACAGTTGCAAATTATAACAGCATGCACTCTTGTCTCCAGCTGAAAACATCCAGACTTGCGTAACACACAACTAACATTAATATCTTTCACACATCAGTAATCTCTTCTTCAAAGTAAACTTAATGCAGTTATAAACAATAATCTCTATTGACAGTGCTATTTTCTATTTCATGTCTAGGGGCAACATCCATGTACATTTATCTCATCCTTTCGAGGGTGAGGGTTGTTTGACGTTCACTCACCCATTTGAGCAAACTGTGTTCTCTCATTTTCTTCACTGCAGGCTACAACTAGTCAATTTTACATCATACTGTCATCTAAATTGTCCGCTTTCTTAACTTTGCACCCTGATATTTGAGGGTAGGTTTTGAAAACATGTTATAATTTAAGTTCAATTATTATGAACCCTCGTTGGGTCCACAATCTAAAATGACTACAAAACAAAACTGTTACTTCACTGGAAATATCCAAACACTGGCAGAGTAACGTGAGACTATCTTCTTGAATTTAAAAAGATAAACAGCCAATGATAGTGAGGCAGAGGGCTAGAACTTGACTGGCTATCTTTTTACAACAGTTGACTTCATTCTAAGGATATAACCATTGTTTAACTCTAAATTTAGCTAGCAGTGGATAAAATACAAAGTGCAGTAAAATGTGCTACGTACATTGTAAAACTTTGCGATGCACAAAACTTGCTCAAACAGCGACAGTATATATGTTCACTTGAATTTTTAAAAAGGTCATTTGAAAAAAAAGTCAGACATAACCTATAGATTTCCACATAAATAATTCCAGGCACAAAGAACTCAGAGCATACAAAAGTTTTCATGTTGCGCAGTTTGTTCTTACTGAAAGTAAGACATTATTCAAGGAACATTGCTATGGGTAAATGGTGGTATCTTTGATACCACAGAAGAGCAGTCTCCTTGTTAAAGAAAACAAAAATATTTTAACACCAAGGAGGATTTGATCTTTTGTAAAGACAAAATGCATCACAAACAATGGGTTACATATATATCAAATATGTTGTACCAACTTGGTACAATAGCCAGGTTTGGTTCTTAAAGTAATCCACTGCCTATTTCTTTCCTTTTGCTTTCTGAGGACCTCTTGGAGGAGTTACTGGCCGGCCAGAGTTTAATCCACCATATTGGTACTTTGCTTTCTTCTCTGACGGCTTCAAAATCTGAAGTAAGGAAACTGACTATTAATAATTTTTTATAGCAATAGCATACTAAACACACATGCAGGGTTAGGTCAATAATTCTTTATAAATCAAAAAGGAAACAAAATTGACAATATTACTGTTAGCTGACCCATCTTGAAATACAAGTCAAAACAACTAGTACCTTATTCTACCAAGTGGATTAAAAGAACTTGATGTCCAGGTGTTTGTTAAATATCAGTATAAATCTACTAGCGTTCTATCACAAATGCCGTTCTCTGATTGACTATGCTACTCACTATCTATTCTGTTGTAGATAGTGAGTAGCGTAGCAGTGTGCGCTTGTTAATGAACTGGTGGTCACTTCTTTGCGTTTTCAAAGTGTGTGTGACGAGTATTTAGATAAAGTTTTGAACGGGTAGTAGATTTACACTTAAACAATAAGATTATTTGCTTCCACTTTCTATGTGTGATAGTTGACTTGGGCCATGCAATAGAACTCTCGTGCTCATAATCTAATTGTTTAGTATAATGTACGAGTAACATGCAATTACCAGCAAAACAGTTTTGTTGGATATGAAACCAACACTTAGCTCCAGTTTATGATTTATGCACAAAAAAACATTTCTCACTCTAAGTAGATTTTCTACGGGTGTAAAATTTCAAATTGGATCACTTAATCAAATTATGTGCTCATAATAGAATTTCTATACCTGGAAAGAACACATTAGAGTTTCATCCACACTCATCATTCCACCTGCATTGTCAAACTCTCCACAGTAATTAGGTGCCGAGAACAACGTGACCAGCTGCCGTTTGGCAAAAAATTCATAACCATCTTCCACCACCTATGGAGATTGTAAAGTAAGTTAACCTTTACTCAATTAAGGTTGGCTATAGTGTTGTTCCCAGGGTAATTTTAAGAGTCCACTACCAAACTTTTGTGACTCAATCCTCTCAATTCCTCAATATACAAATAAGTGTGCCAAAACTTTGCAATGGCTCTCAAATAGAAATAGCTGTTCACTCACGATCAGAATTTCAACACCCGTAGATTTTCAAGGTTTTTGTAACTTGATTAGTTTGTAACCTTTAGTTTAACTGACCTGATGCGCTCTGCATATAAGATCTAAGTCATGGCGGTTTAAGAACTTGCTGACAACATCAGCTCCAAATGTGAAAGAAACACCTCTATCATTTTCGCCCCAGCCATTTGTGTCTTTATCTGGATCTGACCACAACAGGTCACAAAGGAGGCCTGAAAGGATATGAAACAAAAGTTACAATCTCCAACTTATAGGAGTCGCTGATAGTAAGTAACATGTATTAGGCCATCATGAACTTACGGTATCACTTGTAATTAAAATAGATATTTCAGTGATGTTGCCTTATGATCTGCCATAGGAATCATTCTCACTAATGATTTCTTCCATGGGCAAGCCATCTTTAAATGAGAGTTGCCCTAAACCAAACAAATTGCATTTCTTTACCTGTGTCTGGAACATCTGTAGGCCTCATGATTCTTCTAATCTGTTCCATTGACTGTAAATCTGGTGAGAGACCTTGTGAAAGAGAAATTCACTTTCTTATTTGATTAACACTTGACGCTCAAACACAGATCAAGAATGTTAGCAGACTAGAAAAAGGTCAGATGTACACATTTATAGCAAATTCTTGGGGAACAGAAAATCCCAGCTCTGTGTGCTCAAATAATTCTGGTAGAAAATTCACAATTTAGATCCATTTGAATTAACAAGACACTACATACATACATTTTATACAAATCTTGATTACATGTACATTCCCTTTCTAGAACTTAAGTGTCTTCTCTTATTCCAGGCTACAGAGTATCACTAAAGCCCTACATGTATGTGCCATAAGGCATGAGGAGGATAGGTGGCAGAGTATCACTACTTGCTGAACCAGACTTACTTGACATTTCTTTACTCACCTCCATGACAACAGAAGATCTTTTCATCAACTATAGCAGCAATTGGTAAACAATTAAAGCAGTCTGTGAATGTTTTCCAGAGTTTGATGTTATATCGTCGCTTGCCTACAAAATTAAGTTTCAGATTACCATGTAAAGCTATCATTGTTTGAAAAATACAGAAGCTAAAACTACTTGTATCAAGCTCTGAGCATTTCTTTGCTATTCATGACCTAAACTGGATGTCACCTTGTATAAAAGTAATTGCTTGACGGGGATCCAAATATGCTTACAATGCACAGAGAATAATACCAACCAGACATAATGTAAGCGAAGTTGGCTATCATTTGTAGAAAACACAAACAAATAAAACTTTTACTACACAACTTGACTTAACTCTTCAGTAACACACAAAAACCTACATCATACCATAATGGCAAGACTAAGACACCAACTGCTTCAGTGGGCAGCTCATTTTGCCATCTCTTTCTAAAGTATCAGATGAATAGCCTAGTGGAGAAGCTAGCAAAATTGTCAAGATGATAATTTTTGTCAAGCACAGGCTACTTTTGACAACCCTGCTTAGACATACAGACACATGTACTTTTACTAGCTTGATGCTATCAATAATATATAAGCTGAGAGATAACTATCCAGCTTTGATCACTGCATTACAGCAGTAACTATAGGCTCAGGTGTAAAATGGTTACAAGCTACTAATTCACTCAGAGATTGTCTACCTTGGCCTGTCACAAGTCTACTACAAAAAGAACTTGTGTAGGTCTGAGCACACAACTCATGCCAGGTGCTGCTGGCTGAGAGACTACAGTCACTCAGTTGTTACTCTTCACACCTGCCTTAATTTAAAAATGCAAGTAAAGAAGCATAATTTATAGTCCATTCTAACCACAAATACATGTATGTACTCACATTCATCATAAAAGCCATAAATTCTGTTAATGCTTGCACACTCATGGTTTCCACGCAACAGAAAGAAATTTTCTGGATATTTGATCTTGTATGCTAACAAAAGACAGATGGTTTCCAAGGATTGCTTTCCTCTGTCCACATAGTCACCCAGAAACAAGTAGTTTGCCTCTGGGGGAAATCCTCCATATTCAAATAACCTTAAAAGATCTGTGTATTGTCCATGAATATCACCTGTGTGCAATAAGTTTAGGATAAGAGCTTTGTTAGACAAAACAAAAATAATGTATTCTTCAGAGAAGATATGTGACTATCAAGTTCAATCGCCTGAAAACATAAACCACAGATAAGTGAACGTAAATGCACAAGTGCGTGTGTTCTATAAAAACCAAATGTAAATACGTGTTCATGTGCCATGCCTTAATTAAACTTATCAAGTGATTGGCATCTACATATATGTCAACCAAAACTTTAGCAATGCTGCCACTTAGTATAATCAGTAGACATCTACTTGTAACAAATGAAACTTTATATAGGATGGCATTATCATGCTTATCAATGTACACCTAAATTTGTAAAACAATAAGGACTATGAATTACAAATTTCTAACAAAAGAATGAAAACTTGAAGTGGTACATTGATGGAACTTGTTACAACCATCCAACATGATCTGTTTTCTACAAATTAAATAGTGACCAGAAAGTTGTTGACTTCACAGGAGTTCGACAGAAATTTCATTGAAGAAAGATACTTGATATTTTTGTTTACAGAAAGAACGTTTTGTCCTAAAAGGTCGAGGCTGACACAATATCACCAATTATCATTCCAAAATTCTATGTAACATAAAAGTTTCTTGCATGAATGTTATGGTGTAGTTCTCTTTCAGACTACAAACTTTCAGAATGATTCAGTTACTCTTTTTCTTGAAATTGCACACTATACTCAAAAGGAAATTAAAGCTAAACATGTTTAAAGAAACAAAAAACAAAAACAAAGCATGTACACTGTATTAAAGACAATGTACTGTGGATTGGGCCTTTAGTGGCAAAGGTGATTCAAGATCTGCTTAATTTCTTTGTACCAACCAATCTTACGTACGCAGTTTAATAAACTGTGAAGTAATGATCAACAAGACAGAAAAGTTGGAGTAAAAATATTTTTACACATAAGATGCCAACTTTGGGTGTTCAGTATGAAAACAGTTTTAAAAAAATTGATTTTCATGAAAAATCGTAAGGAGACCTCCAAAAGTCCAAATCTGATTATATATTGACAACCAAATTAAGCCAGCATATGGCACTTCCGTATAATTATTTTACTAGAGTAACAAATTTGCATTTAGGAAGGCAACCCTTTTGGGGTTTATCTTAATTGCAATAAAAAAGAAATTTTATAACCGCATACTTCTTGGCATTCATCTTTTTTAGATATACTACCAATCAATTAAAGAATTTCTGATGATAAATAAAATGGGAAGAAACACGGTCATCTTCAATATTAGGGTAACGATTCTCAACTGAAGACAATAATGAACTTTTTACATGTTCATGTCGAGCTCTCTCTAAATTAATATCATAATGGCCTGACACTATTCATTACGCTTTGACGTACTGTTTAGGGCTATCAGTAATTATTGCTTAGATGTGAAAACAGGTCCACAATACGTTCCAACGATAAATTACATAACTAAGGAACAAAATATACGAGACCATGACACATCGAATTTGGGAACTCCCTCGCAAAACAGTACAGTTAATTACAAGTTCGTAGTAGATCTAAGACATTCTAGAAACTAAAACCTAAGTATACTGCTATCTGTCGACTGTAAAGTATCAAATATTTCGCTTCCTAAAGAAGGAAATTCGTTGGTAGGTCCTGTTTGTTTATTCGAAGTCATCGTCAAGCCCAAAAATATCTAACGTAGGCAAATATTCTAAACGCGTTTTTTATCTACTCGTGATTAACATCCTGGCAGCGCACATATCTGATTTCATGAGTTCACTAAGCGAACTTTCCAGGTTTAAAAATTCCACCAAAAAACCAGACTACTGCGGCATTAAAATAAGCTTACGTTTATATCCCGTAAACAAGGCGCCTGAAGAAAGGTCAACTCCTTTGACACTCGATTTCAACAACACATGGAAGCTAAACCGGCTTCTATTACTCGGCAAACAGAGCCATTTGTTCAAGGAAAATC